AAAAAAACACAAATCTTATTTACCATGTGCAAGAAACCGCTGGAAGTACTTCACATATATGAACTCATTTAGTCCTCATAACAACTCATTGAGGTAGGCTCCGTTAATATTCTTCATTTCTCAAATAGAGAAAAGAGGAATTTGAACCTAGTCAGTCCAACTCTAGAGTCTATGTTTTTAATCACTGTGACACACTACCTCTCAAATTTCTAAGTTTGAACTCTTTCTGAACACATTTCTCAGTGAGACTCACAAGTCTTTCTGATGCAGCATCCTGGAGTCAATGTGGAATCTTCCATTTTAACAAGTACCTTGCATACTAAGGTCTGAGAACCACTGCTATTGCTGGTGCTAAGTGTAAAATCCATTACTGTGAAGCCCCTGCATCTCACTAGCTTAATGGCTGTAAGCAAACACATGGTAAGTAATCACTCTCCCTCTTCATATATGCATTGAGACCACACCCTTGTTTATAGGACAGATAAAACTTGCATATTTTTCCATGTGGTATTTTAATATCTATTTATTTATGATCTTCTCAAAGCTAATTGATGAAAGAAAAACTTTATTTAGTATATCTGCTAATTGGCCTTTATCTGACATTGTCAAGAAGTGTAACACATTACCTGGTGTATCTGCCCGCACCAAACATACCATTTATTGAGTTTAATTAGTTGTCCATGCTTGACATCCCTGGAAGGTGGTTCTGAATGGTCCTGACATATATTTAATCCCATACAATTTTCAACTGATAAAAACAGAAATGTTTCACAGCCTTGCCTACGAAATAAACTGTTGGTTGGTATATAGCTATGTCTGATTATGTAAATATTCCTGCCCTTGATATATAAGCCTCCTCCAAGCTTTCTTTGAGCTCTGTGTTCATTTATTTCTTTGAAAGCTCCCTCCCTAAAAAAAGATTAAATATATGTATAACACTTGCTAAATATCACCCTATCTAGAAATCTCTCTGCTTATTTTGGAAATTTAAATTACTCTGTAAACAAGGAATGGATTTATAAACTGCAAAACTTTACACAAAACCACTTACCATTTTTATTATTTAACTTTATCGTGGTCTCATTTTTGTATAAAATGAAGGAATAGATATCTGTGAACAATTATTATGTCATATAAATTCTAAGAAGTTACATATTTGAACTTATATAAGCTGTACAAGAAAAAAAAAGTGAGAGAAATCTGTGTTTTAGTGGACTTAGTTACTAATCCTAAGACCAAAGCACTCAAGTACTTCACAGAAAGCAATGCATGTCTGAAAGTGACTCCATGTCACACTTTCAAACATTCCCTAAGACTAAAATCATACACTTGTTTGGATTGCACACCACAGAAAGACTAAATAATGCAGATAGCTTTTGTAATAATATCAAAGTTAAAAATAATCTTGTAAATGCTACTATTTCTCTCTTCTAGATTGTGAGTCCTGGAAAGCTGAAATCAATTCAATTCTTTTTATATAAAGGGACTTTTTGGACCTCTCATATTTTTGTCTAACCTGAAGTATCTACCTAACACTTGCATGCAAGTCTACCTCCATTGATTCTATTTAGATTGATGAAGTGAACATTCACATAGTGTCACAGAATAAAGTCTAATGCAGAAGTACC